TATAAAAATGGCTCACATGTAACACTATAGTCTCACGTTGCATGTTAGCTTAGCATAAAAACTGATAGCAGGGGTAAACAGCCTGGTTCTGTCAAAAAGTAACAAAATCCACTTGCAAACATCTCTACAGCTCACTAATTAACACGTTGTAGCACATTTAAAGGTAAGGTAAAAATAAGTGCTGGATTTTATCATCATTGGACAGAATCAGGCTGAGTTCCCTTTTTCCAGTCTTGATGCAGACCCTCACTGACGGACAGAAATGAGTGGTATCAATCTTCTCTCAAGAACAAAGCAGATTAGTTTATATCCACAGTGTCAATCCTTTGACCTGCAGTTCTTCAGGATTACTTTCATACTTTTCCAGCGACCTTGTGACTCAGAAGCGTTTTGAGTGTCCTTTGTTTGGAGCTGGTATTAGGGCCCAGCCCAAATTGCTGATTGATTCAACATTAGCAGATATAAATAGAAACATGGACAAAGTCCTGGCACCAATTTAAAGCTCTCACTCCCTCTGCATAGAGACACAGCAGCTGACATTTAGACATTTACCTCCAAACCCCAGTGCTTTTCTTTTCTCCAACCACTAATTAAATAACAGCGTATGAAGTGTAACAGGAAGAGAGAAATGGATCTGGATAACATGGCTTAGCATGTTTGTCCTTGATTCAAACAAAAAGAACATGCACGCCCCGTTTTTAAAACAAACAGAATGAAGTTGTCTGGATCATAGCACAATTGAATATAACATTCAGCTGACCAAAGGTTTTTACACGGTAAGTCATCCTGGGCCAGAGATGGTGTCGTGTTGAATTGGCTAATTATATGAAAGATCTTATTCAGAGAACAGGCCATATGTTGCAGGAGGTTTTCTCACCTTTTAGACAGAGGAGGAATTAAATAGTAGGGTTGAAATGTTTGTTTGATTCATGAACACAGGCGAAAAGAAAAACATCTTGAAAATTTTCCTGTAATGACAGACCCGTGGAAATGGAAATGCTGAGTCATTTTCAAATCACTGCAACTCATTTTCCTGCCAGTCCTGCAGGAATGTTACCTACCTACTACCAAACCTGTAATTCCTTGTTAAAATCATCAGTGAAACATTTAATCGCAACTTTAAACATTAAGGGTCTGTACTTCAAATAGATGCCTTGTGTCTTCGTCAGCTCTACCTGCAGGCGCGACTTCAGGCTGAGTGGGCGAGGCTGCTGAGACCCACGCTTCAATTTTTCCTGATTGCTGCTTCAGTGTACACAGGATTGTCAAGGGTGTCCGATTATAAACATCATTGGAGCGATGTGCTGACGGGACTCCTGCAGGGGGCCCTTATGGCCATCCTGGTGGTAAGTGCTGTGCCTCACTCTTAGATTTAAAGGAATTACTTGACATTTTTGGAAATGTGCTCCATCAACTTGTCTGTAGTTAAGAGTAAATTGATACCATTCTTAAGTCTAACCTTCACATAGGTGGGGACAGTTAGCTTAGCATAAAGGTTGGAAGCAGCTAGCTAGGCTCTGTCATAAATCACTTTTATTGACCAAGTATGTTACACACACACAAGGAATGTCTCTGGTACAGGACCAAGGCTGCCAACTGTGGCGCCAGCTCTCTTACACTTACACACACTGATGGAGGTGCCATGTTTTGTTACATTAGGACAGAGCCAAGTTAGCAGTTTCCCTGTTTTCAGTCTTTATGCGAAGCTAATAATTACCTGAATGTAGCTTCATATTTTATGTACACATGAAAGTGGTATTGATCATATTTCTTTAAAGTTTGTACGGCTACCACTTTATCTGTCTTGATGTTTCTTGCAGGTCTTCTTTGTGTCTGACTTCTTTAAGCCACGTGTAAATTTGCATAAGGAGGTGGACATCCCTCACACTACCCTGCAGGACACCCCAACAAATGGAAACCACTTTGAGAGCCCCAACTAAGCTAAGCAAGAGGTGGAGGCGGCTACCTCTGCATGGTCCAAACGCACACCCAGGATCCCAGCTCTCTAGCCTTTCATCTCACACATTCTCATCAGATGCCCTGCCTGGCTTTACAGTGTAGAGTACTTGAATCTTACTTCAAGTATGCTTGTCAGTGATGCATCCCAGAAGAGACTTTTGGAAGCAACACCTCAGGCCTGTTCAGAGTATAAGACAATTTGCCGTTTTGTCCACAGTTTCTCCATCTGGAGGGAAAGTGGCAAGACAACCCGTCTAACCCTTGTAGATAAGATGAAGTGACTGAGACAGATGTAGATTAGAGGCTAGAGATTCTGTAAGGACAGACCCATTTTGTATGTATCTATCTACTGAGCTGGTGGGAAGACTTACCTGCATGCACCACTAAAGGATCTGACCACTGCCAGATGAGAGAGAGGAGTGTTAGAAACCTGTGAATGTAACCCTGCTTTGTGCCTTCCGTGACCTGGAGTCAGTTTGCTCAAAGATCTGATTTAGAGTCAGTTTTAAGTCCAGTGAGCAGGGAGACATCCAAGTCTTTTAGCTCCACTACCTTCAGCCCAATCTAAGTTGTTTTTCCAAGAGCGTGCTGGAGGCTAAAGCTGATCCTAAACCAGAGGGCAACACTGCTTCAGTCTGGAGCTGCTGACTCCAAGTCACAGCTGTCTTATTCTCAGTCGTCTAATCTCATATTCAAGAAGGAAGCTCGACTCATGTCAGGTTAGAGGGCTGAAGCGTAGACGGCCACTTTGTCCTGTGCTGCCTTTGCTGGACTGCTTCTGTTATCACAGCTCCCTGTGTATCGAAGAACTAATATATAAACATCAAGTCAGACAAATGCACTTTTGTATAATCTGTATGTGAACACATTACTACAGACTTTTATTGAAAAAGTTACATATGTACAAGTGTCTAAAACAACAACAAAAGGAAAAAGCCATTTTAACACGAATGCATATGAAACACTGAATTGTATTGTCAAAGTTAAAGCATGACCTGTTACCTTTATCAGTCAGATATCAATGTCATACTGCACAAACTAAATAAAAGCATGAATGTTCAATGTATTCACCTCAATGTAAAAGAAATTCGGCTCATTTGTTTATAAAATGCGACAGGAGCTCGAAGATGATAACGTCTGATCAGAAAAGTGATCTGAAACTCAGCTCAACTAACCTTCTGGGAAATGCGCCATAATATTTAACCCCACTGAGAGCAAACATCCGTCCATGGGTTAATCATAAGATCAATAATATGCCTTCTCCTCCAGCAGCATCATAGGTAAAGACTGGCAGCAAAGACTATGTCTCTCTTGATCTTCGTTATAGCTGCAAACACACAAATGCCAAAGACACTATGAAGTGACAGTGAAGCGAGTTCAGTTAAAACTATACAGACAAAACTATCAAAAAAAAAAAACTACAAATAAAGCAGTTACATTGTTTGTAGTTGTAGACCGGTCTGTGCTCAGCATGGCGTCATAATCTGTCCATGCCCAGACCCACATGAACCAACGGACAATTTAAAAAAACAATTATTGCAAACAAGCAATTCAGTTTTATCATAAGTTGAGCTTCTTAGCAACTGTGTCCTGACAGCCAAAAGTTATAACTCATATTACTGTCTAATGCAGGAAATAAAAATATTCAAGACCTTGGTGGTAGAAGTTTGAAACTCAAATACCTTCTAAGGCCTTATTTTCCAGGATATGAATTCAATGCTGGATTTTTTTTTTTTTTTTTTTTTTAAGACTAAGACCCGCCTTGTAAGAAAAGATGGAAGTAGTGGAGTTTCGTACCTTCCGAAAACTTGTTCTCCAGCTCGGTGTTGCCTATGGCCTTGGCGGCAGAGCACATTTGTCTCAGTACCTCCTCCAGACGGCGCATGCAGCGGATGATGCTCCCTACACAAGACAGACACAAATACACAAAGTGTTTAGTGGGTGGATTTGTTAGGAATCAGACTTTACTGACGTCGCTGAATGCTTGGAGCAGTGTTGACATTTAAAGCCTTGGCTTGAATTGGCACTGCACAATGTAAAAAGTCAAATCCTCTGACAAACCTGCTTAACAGATTTGTAATGTTTCCATAATTTCCAAGAGTTTTCCAGGAAAGCACTGTGTCATTTGGTATTAATGAGAAGGAAAATACCCTGTGTTCAACTGGTTCTTTAGCTGAGCAGGCAAAAATCTGATCTGTCAACAGTCAAGCACAATATTCAACATGAATAATGATGATGATAAATCATTCTTGAATCAATGCATATTTACTTCTGTTTAAATGGAGCATTTCTTTTGCATGGAAATTCAGATTTTTTTTGCCAACTAGTGGTGAATGACAGGACGCTACAGACCTGTCAAATGAATCCTTACCAAACTTTTTAGTTTACAGCAGGTGTTATCAAAATTCAAAGAGAAAGAACATGTACAAATACTCTGAAGTAATTATTTTGGCACTGTGAATCCTCTGTCTCTCTCCTTTGCCAACACACACACACAAGCATCTAAAACTCCCTGAAGTTTCCCAACTCAGCATTACTTCCCTCTCATGATATCCAACATTTTACCACTGAGGTCATTGCTGGAGCTATGGGAAGAATGGCGGACGTAAAACTGGATTTAAATCAATTAATAACCCTCCCACAGGCTCCATGTGGCTGCACATGTGTAAGTGGATAAATCAAACTGAAATGGTTTTGTAAAGGCTGTGTTGCACCTCAGTAGTGGGGGAAGAAAGATTCTGATTATTTACCTTAAGGATATTAATTAGTAAAATGTTCTTAACTCTGCCTGAAATGTAGTACTCTTACTTTCCATCACTGTCTTTGCTGTCTGTTAGGAATTATTCTGAAAGCCTGAATGGATCCAAATGCTCAAATAAAGCTGGCCAGGTTTATATGGCAAGTTTAACACCTACATTTTAACCTCCTGTCAGTAGGATATTAGTAAAAACGGTGCACCTTCAAAGACGTCGGTCATCTTGCAGATCTGAGCGAACGTGGCACCATTAGCCCAGGCGTAGACCACGTCCATCAGGTGGGGCTTGAACTGGTTCAAATAGGTCTCCTCGTCCACCTCCAGCTTGGCGTCTGCAGACACCTTGGCTATGCGCTTCGCACACTCCTGAACACAGCAAAAACAGCAGCATTCACATCTTCACCAAACCTTAAACACTTAGAAAGAACCTTGGGTTTGTTGTTTATCTGCTCACCTGCATTTGTCTCAGGGGTGCAGCTAGCTGCTCAGTCAGTTTGGGCATCTCACTGGCCTGGAAGATAAAATGACATCAATAATGCTGTGATAGCAAATTTCCAACATTTGTTTTGTTGCTTTCATTCCAAGCTCCAGGCAAAAACATGTTGCCACTTTAATCTGATACAGGCATTTTTGAGAAGGAGCTGATCTAAGCAAAACAGGATCTCTCTGCGTTCTCACTGGCCATATCAGCATTTCACTGATGTGCTGGAAGAATGTTTTCCTGTTTTTACCATGATCTGTTTTTTTAATTTTTATTTTTTTATCTTGCTTTTAAGGGCATTTAAAGGCTTTCTGGATTCAGTGCAAGTGGAATACAGTGAGCACAAGGCCTCTCCTTCTCCTTAAACATCTGGTCCTGTTTGTCTTTGGTAATTAAATTATTTGCTTTTCAACTTGAACATAATTATTAACCCTTAAAGTTGGCCTACAGCAGCTTTAGTTGTCAGCTCTCATACATTAACACTAGCCTGACCTGTAGAAGTCAACATTTCACTGGCTTTAACTGGAATGGAGCCTCTGGCTTCCTTTACAAGGTTCATACTCAGCTCTTAAAGGAACAGTTCTTCACTTTGTCATGAGTTAGATGAGAAGACTGATACCACTCATCTGTACATTCAACAGGAACCAACAAAATTAAGAGTATTTCTAGGCCCAGCCAGCTGTTCCCAGTCTCCAGTCTTACACTGGCTGTAGCTTCATGTTTAACATAGGTAGGAGTGCTATCGAGTGCTCGGCCATAAAGCTGATAACCACGTCTCAGAAACCTACTATTATTTCATGATACCCGAGTTTCTATAGTAAAACCAAATGATACTTTTTCATCTCGATGCCACACCTTTACAGCCACATTGATTAATCTGCAGATTATTTTCATGATTCCATCTAAAATCCCATAATAATTTCTAAGACATGACAAAGCAGGGAACTCATTACATTTGAGAAACCTTAAACTAGTGAATGTCTGGAAAAGGACAACTGATTTTTCATTCATCAAACTAAATATATGGTTAAAGAATAAGTAAAATCATATGAATGTGATGATGCATTCAGACTTTTTGCGATTGATGATTTGAGTTGGTCACATATAAAATCACTCAAGTCGATCAAACCTGGGCTACTTTAAAGAAATCTCTTACTGGGGCACTAACGTCAGAATAGGCTGATGCTGTAAAAACACACAGAGAATGGATAGTTTTGTTTCAATGAGAGCTAAACCAGCAGCAGATGCTCTTAAATGACAGGCGACAGATGCCCAAACAAGGGTCCTGACAGCTGCCTGTCGCCAGCCCCTCGCTGACAGAACAAACAAGACACAAAAGAGACGGCAGTGGGGGGCATGACTGAGCTTAGGCAAAAATGTGTTCAGTTCTGAGCAGCGAGCTGATGTAGAGCCAAAGAAAATATATGTTGAACCATGTGACCCCAACAGGCTTCATTAGGAATGACAAACACATCAACCGCAGGTTTCTGTTTTGGTTGTAGCACATGGAAGAGACCAAGAATGTTACTGGAGCTTGAATGTGTGGGATGGGAATCAGCTGTTTATGTCAGTGTTTGGGAAAGGCTCAACGTCTGTTTATATGGAGAATTAGAGGAATTATATAAGTTTGTGTGTTCATACGTTTTCCTGGAAGACAAAGCAGGACAGCAGGGCGGTGGCTTGTTCAACCGTCAGATCGTTGAAGAGGCCGTTGAATATCATCTCTGTCAGCAGGAGCTCGTCGGCGCTGGAAAGATTAACCCCGAGTCAGTAACTACATGACATTTTCTAACTTTATCAAACCGGACCCGACACATTCATCAGCGACTAAGCAGAAACAAGTTGCAGCCATTAGAGAAATCGGAGCAGATGACATCCAACCACATATTTCAGCCCTCTCCTAAAAAGAAGATCCACTGCGTGCTGGGTGTGTGCTCCACATTTCCATACCTGCTAATTTCACATGCAACTCGCCCTTTCATCTCAATTACATCAGAGGGGCTGGCGAAGCCAAGGCGCCGCAGAACTCTCTTCCTGCACTTCAGCTTGTCCATCTGTAGGACGGTCCGAGCTTTCTTCAGCTCTCGCTTGGCTGTTCGAACTTCTACTGCAATCTGAAACAGAAAGACACATGCAGTATACTGTTATTCAATGCAATGGAGAGAAGCTCTTCCAGGGATTCCAGAAAGATTCTTTTATTTATTATCAGCACTGATATTCATATTCTAACACTACACAGTGATGGAGTGATGGAGTGACAGGAGTTACCTGCCAGCAGATGTTCATCTGCCTGCTTCTCTCTTCACAATGTCCACTATCCACATCGACATCTACCCCTCATCATTACAACACACCTCAGAGCCAAAGACGTCAACACAACCACAAAGACTTGGCCAACATGCCTCATTACTCAAACTGAGCCTAATTTCCCAGAACTGGTGGCTCTGTGTGAGAGACAGCCAGGAAAGTTACCACACATGCTGTAAAGTTGAGACTTTCAGGTGCTTGTGCCAAAAATCATCAAACAGCGCAGAAACCAAGTGTTAACACAGTAACACATGAGGGGCAACTGACACAGCCATGTTGTGGTGTGTGTGTGTGATGTGATACAATACTACCTTAAATAAATAAATAAAGGTAGGTAGTGGAAAGGTGAAAGGAGAGGGGAGCTGCAGAATGATCCTGGGGATTGGAGCTCTCCTGTGTGCACACACACACACACACACACACGCACCACAACATGGACAGATGTAGATGTTTATGCAAATTGTCAAACATGGTGAGGGTTGGTTTTTCACCCCCTGATAAAGCCAAATAAGGTGTCTTGCATCTATAACTCAGACTCTTATAAGATTGTTCCTAGATGCTCAGAAGTTATTCCGGTTGACTGAAGACGCTCTGCGAAGCGAGAAGGCTGCTGGAGGAGCCATGAGCGAGGATACATGAGACCATGTAAGTTTTTTATGAACTGACATGCCCCTTTGTCAGAAATCAGTTGGTGACTGGACGCTTCAGATGAAGGATCTGAGGAAAGGATGTCTCGTGTTGTTATTAATGCATTTCCTCGTATCCTCTCTCCTCATGTTTTCCTCGGATCGTACGTGGGTGGGACTAAGATACAAGGAAAAGATGCAAGTGAGGGGAAACAGTGGTGCTTAGATCCTTGGGAAGTTCCCTATGACACTGTGCCTTTTTAACTACCACTGTATGAACTAAGTGAAGCTGAGCTGACTCCGTCATTCTGTAAGTGGAGCACACAGATGCAGTAGTGACTACAGTGTGTTATTGTGGTAAAATATGAACAGGACATGATGAATTCCTGTAAAGGCCCTGAGGATTAGGCAGAGACTTTTACTTTGAAGACTTCCAATGTTCCCATAAAGCATGGCTGATATCTTTATATAGGACAACACGGAGTTAAACCCATGACACAGCGGAGAAACAAAGCTTTTTTTTTGGTTTGTTTGTTAAATCTCTTGCTCCATGTGATCCGGTGACATTTTCTGGTCTGACATATAACTCCGGGTGAGGCCCTGTAGGAATAATTTCCTTGCTTTCTTCCTGTATTTGTCTATATGAGTTCACATATCGCCAAAGCCAATCGGTCTGGCAGGAAAAGACAATGGGCGGTCATCAACTGTCATCTAAATAAAGGTGGCCAATGCAGATAAAAGTGATTTTCCAACAGTAACAATACCAACTGTAACCTGTGGTCAATGATTTAAAAGGGTTTGACATTTAGCAAGGTTTCACACGACTTTTAGCTTGTGTGCTCTCACACACTCACACACACACACACACACACACACACACACACACCTTAGACAGTTTCTTACCAAAGCTTTCTTCTCACAGAGAGAATAAACAGATTCTAAACTGGGGTCGCTGTGCAGGGGGTGGGAGTACATGCGGTGTTCAAAGGCCTCCACTTTCTGAATGACTTTCTTCAGTGCAGGGTCCTTGATGCCCATGTCGTCTATGGGGTCGAGAAGAGGAACGCCATCTGGGAAACGTTTCTGCACTTCCTGAGGACAACATGGTTGAAAAGGGCAACAATTTAGGTAATGGTTTCTGCTCAGTGTTACCGGCTTTGCTGTTGCACTGTGTACCTGTATAGACTTGAGCATGAGCTGTCTGTTGTCCAGGGGCCTCAGGTCTTTGGGGATGTAGAGGCGAACGGAGCTGATGGCAGTCAGGAGATGCAGCATCACTGGGACCACCTGGACAAACGCAGTAATCATCAGCCAGGTTCCCATCCAAGTTTAGAGCAAAGTGTAATCAAACTGACAAAAGAAAGCGTTCGATCCACTAGTTAGGTGACTATTAGGGGCACTGACATAAACAGAGGGTGGTGCTAGTTATCCAGACAGGTACGATTACAACGTGATGGAAAATATGGCACTTAGGCTTGTTTCATGTGTTTGAGAAAGAGAGTGTCCTCCTTATGCCACATACAGATCTGATTTTTTTGTCAACCTGTGAAATTAAAGGCTTCTGTGGTCTGTTTCACCCACCTGCATCTCTCCAGTCTCCCCTGGAGTAGCAGGTTTAGCCGCCTCAGTCGCAGCATCTTTCACACTGTCCTTACTACAGTGGAGCAAAACCTCCACCACGTACAGCGGCTCTGAGTCCGTACTGGTCTGAGTGAGGGGGGGGGGAAGGCATTACTCACAGTCATGTGTGAATTCATTCATGTATGTGTGACACCGTGACACCACTAACTTACCTTCACATTAGTCTTCTTGCAAAAGTTTACCACAACTCCCCAGCCAAAGTCAGTGTTGTCGCTTTTCACCTGAGGGGGTCGCATCAAAGACTCACTAAGCAACATGTAAAAATCCATAATGCACATTGTGTGTGTGATGCTGTACCTTAACAAGTCGTCCAGGCTGCAAGAAGGGCAAGCAGTACTTGGGTTTCTGGATGAACTCCTGTATCTCTTTACCCAGTTTGGCCAGCTGCTGTCTGATTTTAAAGTAGGTGCCAACACTCTCTTCATTGGGTATCTCAATGGCGTGGTACTGCTCCTCTAGCTTTTTAATTTCTGCAAACACACACAGGCAGATTAATCAATATTGAAAATAACAGTTAGTTGTAGCCATAAAGAAATAATGCCAAACACTGGATAATGATACTTTGGTAATGGAATCATTGTCAACTTGCAGTTGTTACAGTCAACGGTGAGCTTGTTTAAGTCTCCGGCATTTCTCCACTCAAACAGAACTGTCTGCCGTTAGTGAACAGATTCATCTTTGACAGCTTGTTTCCACCGCATGAATCAGAGAGACCGTAAATACATGCAAGTCCAAACACGCGTGTCACTGTGTCAGTAGAATCTATCGCATCCAGGCTGGACTGTAAAGACGTTCATAAATTAAAATGCTTACTCTCCACTACACCAGGCAAAGCTCTGTAGTGCTGGAACTGGTAGAAGGACTTCTCCAGCATGTACTCAGGGTTGATCTCCTCCACACGCAGCAGATTGAGCACCATGTTGTAGGTCAGGTGGAAGGCGCTGTTCAGGGGGTCCGCTGATCCCTGTGTAGCACAAAAACAACCAGACAGATTAACATCCACAATTATTCAGTTGTAATAATACACAGCTGTGGGTCAGTATGTGGTTGTATAATTATGCTAGGAGGTCTGCTTGAATGCAGGCTGAAGTCGACCTCTCTTAAATTAAACTCTGGGAATATTTTTCAGTCACAACCTTTGAAAGCCCAGAACCACAAATATGTGTTTAACATCTTTCTCTGAGACACCCTGGGAATTAAGCACCGTGACAGAGCCAACAAACAGGTTTACATGAACACAACCCTCTTTCAAAAGGTATGCAGATGCATATTTATATCAGCACAGCTATAAATACTGTATGTCAAACCAAAGCCAACAGAGCAAGACTCTGGCTTCTCTGTGACTGTGTCTGGCATCAGGTTCTGACATAGCACCAAACAGCCGGATGATCCAGAGGCACTTCTGACGTTTTCCACTCAATCTTTCAGGTAAATTCTCAGCAAGAGAGCAGAGAGTTGTGTTTAACTGATGGGACAGTGGGACTATTCTTGCAACAACAGTATGTGTAGACAGTAGTGGAGAGTTTTGCAAAAGATGTGATGGATGACTTATAGCTGCATTTTGAAAAATAATATGAACTTGGATGTTAAAAAGCTTCATAGCAGCTAGACTCCTGCTCAGTACCTTGAGTAGTTGTTTGCCCACAGCTGGACTCATCTTCTCATCCACCATAAAAATAACAATTCCCCTGTCGTCCATTCCTCTCCTCCCGGCACGTCCAGACATCTGGATGTACTCACCTGATGTAATCTAGAGCCGCATGAAAACACACAAGACATTAGGAAGAAAGAAATTTGATAGTGAAACTTCGTCTAAAGCTGGAATATAATATGTATTTGCTGCTCTGACAAAGACAGAAAAAGAAACAGCCTATTGTACTGCTGAGAAAAGAGGTTCAAAACATCACCAGACAGCTTTGTGATCGTGTACATTTGAGTGAGAATATAAGTAAATGTTTTGGAAATTAGATGGCATATTTCCACAACGAGTGCCTAGCCATGTATCTAACAGAAACCTGGATGAGGAAGCTGTCTCGTGAGGGAGAGACAGGACTAGTTTTCCACGAGCCTCTGAGTCACACATGGCTCTGAATAAACTCTACATCGCTACTGGGTTATGAGCAGTAAAATGCACCAAAAGTAGGATAAGATTATTTCTGTGTTGAAGTGATCTGATTGTGATTTCAGAAATGTCATGGGATCAGCTCTTGATTTGAAACACAGTGCGTTTCAGGAATGAGAGCTGTGTGAAATGTGCGAGTGCCTGCGTGGAGCTTTGGCCCTGTCGGAGAAACCAGATGTAGTTTCCGTCTCTCTAGCAGTACTTTCAAAGCCTTTGTGTGTGTGTGTGTGTGTG